TAGCTATTATTGTTGTTGTTATTATTATTATCAACAGCATTATGATTATCATTATTTTTTTATTATTGTTATCATTAATATTATCACTGATAGTATTTTTTGTTATTATTATTATTTCTATTACTCGTAGTAGTATTAGTAGTAGTAGAGGTATTGTTTTAGCTGTTGTTATTGTTGTTTTTATTATTATTATTGTTTTGATTATTATCACTGTCATCATCATCATTATTATCATTATTATTATTACTATTATTATCATTTCCATTATCATCATCAATGTTATTATTGTTATTACTATTATTGTTGTTGTTATTATTATCATTATCATTATGACTATCATTATTTTTTATTAGTTTTACCATTATTATTATTATTATTGATATTATTTTGTTGTTATTATCATTATTATTGTTGTTGTTGTTATTATTATTGTTATTGCCATTATTATTATCATAAATATTATTCTTATTAATATTATTATCATTATTATTATAATTATTATTATTACTATTATTATTGTTATTATTACTGGTACAGCTAATATAATTATTATTACTAGTGGGACCTGTGAAATTTCTATGGAACCTTTCCCCTCCCGTCTCCCTTTTCCCTTTCTCTGCCTCTCCCTTTCCTTCTCCTTCTACCTTTCCCTTTCCTGCTCTTCCACCTCGTCTCACACCCAAATCTTCCTTAAATTCACTCCTTCCTTCTCATTTTATGCCATACATCTGCCCCCCCCCCCCTTCCCAGTTTCCTCCTCTTCTTCCTTAAGCTCCTCCTTTACTTCCTTATTTCCTTCCTTGCCTCTTTTCTCTCTAAGTCCTCTCTCCTTAACCCCCTTCTCAATTCCCCTTTCATCTATGAATCTGCTCTATTTCCCCTTCCCCATCTCCCTTGTGTTTTATAGGCCTTCTTTTCATTTTCTTTCTCCTTCCCTTCCTTCTTAACCTCCCCCCCCCCCCCATAGGCTGACAGTCTAACTCAGTGGTTCTCAATCTTTTTTCAATGATGGCACCCTGAATTTATATAATACTTTCTGTGGCACCCCTTTTTCACCATCACCCCTCCTCACATGAATTAACTTCTGATATAAAATTGTACCTGTTTGAATTACTTTAATTAATGATTTAAAATTATTATCCGTACTCAAACCTGTACCCCCCATGTACTGTACTGTAGTACATGCCCAAACATTTTACTAAAATATAGGTAGATTCTACCTATATTTTAGTAAAATATTAGAGCAAGTAACTTCCTACACCGACATTTAATTATAGGCAGACTGCTACAAACTGTTTTACAAATGTACCTTGAAACGATCTAGCCAAGACAAAATTCATGGCAATCTTGTGGCACCCCTAGGCACTGTCCGTGGCACCCCAGGGTGCCGCGGCACCCAGTTTGAGAACCACTGGTCTAACTATTTCAGTGTAATGTATTACTATTATTGTTACTATTATTATCATTTCCATTATCATCATCAATGTTATTATTGTTATTACTATTATTGTTGTTGTTATTATTATCATTATCATTATGACTATCATTATTTTTTATTAGTGTTACCATTATTATTATTATTATTGATATTATTTTGTTGTTATTATCATTATTATTGTTGTTGTTGTTATTATTATTGTTATTGCCATTATTATTATCATAAATATTATTCTTATTAATATTATTATCATTATTATTATAATTATTATTATTACTATTATTATTGTTATTATTACTAGTACAGCTAATATAATTATTATTACTAGTGGGACCTGTGAAATTTCTATGGAACCTTTCCCCTCCCGTCTCCCTTTTCCCTTTCTCTGCCTCTCCCTTTCCTTCTCCTTCTACCTTTCCCTTTCCTGCTCTTCCACCTCGTCTCACACCCAAATCTTCCTTAAATTCACTCTTTCCTTCTCATTTTATGCCATACATCTGCCCCCCCCCCCCCCTTCCCAGTTTCCTCCTCTTCTTCCTTAAGCTCCTCCTTTACTTCCTTATTTCCTTCCTTGCCTCTTTTCTCTCTGAGTTCTCTCTCCTTAACCCCCTTCTCAATTCCCCTTTCATCTATGAATCTGCTCTATTTCCCCTTCCCCATCTCCCTTGTGTTTTATAGGCCTTCTTTTCATTTTCTTTCTCCTTCCCTTCCTTCTTAACCTCCCCCCCCCCCCCATAGGCTGACAGTCTAACTATTTCAGTGTAATGTATTATTATTATTGTTTTTCATTACTACTATTGTTTTGTTGCTGCTGCTACAGTTGTTACTAATGGTTAATGGTTAAATTAGATAAATGTGACATCAAAGGTCATATTGCAACTATGGTAAAGAATTGTGGCAAAAAAAGTAAAAATGAGTTAACAATTAGGTTAAGTTGACAGAAGGGGATGAAGAAGAGAAGGAAAAGGAAAGGGGGTAGATAAAAGAGACGAGACAAGGGCTGAAGTACACGGTAAGGATGCTCCCTTACATTGGGCCTCAGTCTCAATCTTCTAACCTCCCCCCCCATGACAACAATAAGCAAAGGATTGGGGGATACAGTTGTTACTCGTTACTATTATTATATCATCATTATAACTCTTGTCATGTTTGAAACTTATCTGAATGATCCCACATTAATCTCTATGTTTTAGAACTATTTTAAAATGCAGATAATTTTGTATGTAAATTGGAATATTATAAAGGCCTGGTGATGGCAAGTGTTTTAACATATACAAGAAACCTAAATCTGGATTTGTACATTGTCACTTATTGTTTAGTCATTATCAGATATTAGAGTCAGTCAGTGACAGAGAAAAAAAAAATCATCCGATGTGTTCTCTCTCTCTCTCTCTCTCTCTCTCTCTCTCTCTCTCTCTCTCTCTCTCTCTCTCTCTCTCTCTCTCTCTCTCTCTCTCTCTCTCTCTCTTCATGTCTTCAAGGCAGATCCTTCCCAACATATTTTCCTTTCTTATTTTTACACCACTCATGTATAGTCATGCAGTTTGCGCTACTTTCACTCTCCTTGATCTTTCAGGAATACACCAAAACCAGCAACAATCTTATTTGTTATAGTATTAGACATCCAAGTTTATATTTCTATTACTCATTGTTATTCAAATTCAGTATAATCATAGTAGCAAGTATCTATCTTTTCATACTGTTAAGTCATGTGAAATCTCATCATTTCCACTCTACAGTTAATCACTGGCAGGTATTTTCAAGTTACTGCTTTTATTTTAGTAGCTTCTAATTCCCTTACGATTAGGATACTTCTTTATAGATTTGTAGACATACCACATACCTTCATAACCCCCAGATATACTATGTTTGAAGCAAAACTTCTGTGCAAAGTGAATGATTCATTTTTCAACTTTGACAGACCAATTCTTTCTCAAGCAAAGAAAGCGAAAAATAAAGTTTGACCTTGGAACACCTTGACTGTGAATATTATAACAATTGAATTATTGACTATTGAGTGAATTGCTGTTTGAGGAAGTACTATGTTTTTTCTGAAAGCATTCACTTTATTATAGCTTTTTTAATCTAAAATTATTTGTCATTTCTATTGAACTATGATAATTAGTGAATTACGTAAATGTACATTCTTAGTATGAAAACAGATACTGCTTAAAGTGTTTCAAGGTAAAAATTAATGACTATATTATCTCTAAGCTTTTGATACAGAAGAAATCATATTTAGTAAAAACTATTTATTATCACTTTGAGCAGGTACAGTAACATGATATACACACATTAATTTATGAACAATGTAAACACAAGAGAAACAAAACCTATTTTGATTTCTGAGAATACTTATATTACTTTGTTTATTCCACCCTACTTGTTGAATACTCTAGTCTTTTTCATATATTACTCTGTTGTATGTGTAACTCCTTTGTGAAACAATTTCGTGCAGAAAGTGGCACTCTGAAGACAGTGAGCAATTTATTATAATGCCCATTTGCCATTGCAATTGCTCCATTCTATCTTTCAAGCATCATACTAATACTGTCAACTATAGGCTTTATATGAATAAAACATATAAACCAAATGACTAATAAATAATTAAATAACTGAACTCTATTTATGAGATATTGTTGCAGCCTGGGACAATAAGTAACACAAATTTCATATACCAACTTCTTATCTCTAATGCATCTTCTAATTACAAAATTGATAAATGACTGGTAATATGCAAATTAAAATCATTGAGATTGCAACCAAGAATCTCTCTCTACCTTTTTTATCATATAACAAAAGTAAAAAAAAAAGGGAAATAAAATAATGGAAAAAGACAAATATAATATGTATTTGAAAATATTTATTTACTGCTAAATGATGTTCAAAAGCAGCCTGAGAGTTTCTATTGAGCACAATGTATCTTTCAGTACGTTACACATACAACTAGGTCAATAGCTTGAGGACGAAACCTCACTTCCTTCTAAAAAAGATTATTTAAATGTGAAAAAAATATTTGTCTGTAAACTCTTTTATGTAACTTTATTTTCTCTTGAATATAAAATATTAAACAACTCTGTGTACAGTAACTCATTACTTTACCTATGAGGTATGGAAAATTATAGTCAATTGCTCTTACACATAAAATGCACAAAATACAGCTACTAATTAAAAATAATTCTGAATATGCAAACATAACTTCTGAAATACTTTACTTCTTTGCAAAGGGAAATTAAGGAACTTTCTAAATACTACATCACTCTCTTTTCTTCTCACTTCCTCAGATAACATGACTTCAAGTGCCACACTCTCTTTTCTTCTCACTTCCTCAGATAACATGACTTCAAGTGCCACTTCCATGAGCTTTATATAAAACAAAAAAAAGGTCATATCTTCTGACTATTCATCTAACTTCGTCAAATAACTTGTTGAATGCTTGAAACAGCTTGCAATCAGTACTGTAGCATTTATAGTACTATCTAGTGCCTGATATATTTTTTTGCTTGAACATGCACAGTTATACAATTGCCATACTTATTTTACATTGTACTATTGTGGTCTTAAAAAAAAAAAAAAAAAAGTGAGAATAAGTGACAAATGAAATGAAGAAAAGGGTTTCTAAACAAAACTGCAAAACACCTTAACAAGTAAACACACAATAAGTTATTAACTTAATGGCAGTCCTAAGTGAGGCTTCTCAAGGGGATAAAGTAGCCGTTTCTGAAAGCAGCATTAACCTCTGTCGCCTGGCAAAACCCAAGCAATGAGAGTTCTCCCCATGATACATATTCCCCCCAGACCATCACTTTTCCTAGGGGGCAATAATACTCTTTGCTTTATCGATTGTTCTGGAGTTTTTTTTTTGTAAGGCAGCAATGAGTCTGTAGAAACTGTTATCCAAGTAAATACGTTAATGTTAGGTAGTTGTTTTTTGAACTAGGGGCCGCCTCCTGCTCTGCAATACTTCAATCACATGATTTTGTACTTTCTTACGAGCTGTTGGAGTTGCCATTAGTAAACTGCGGTTTATTCTTTAGGAGGTAGTTTGCCAACCATTCTATAGGATCTCCAGGTCTGTAATTTAAGAAGAAGAAAAAAAATATATTACTTCAATATCATGCAATTCATTCATAGATATTAATACATCTTCTGGAGTGCCTTTTTAGAAAAATAATTCATAATTTCTAAATAACAGTAGTAGATAAATAACTGTGTAAATACCATCACAACAGCACCATTCCATTAAGAACTGGAATTCATTACCTTTCCTTATTGAGTTGCGTAACTGCCTGCAGGAGGATCGGCACTACAGTTTGGTCTAGGTACTGCCGAGTTGGTAAAGAATTAATGTCTACTCTGGGCCTCTTTGCTGAAGACTCTCCATTACTCTCTCCAACACTGCCACTGGCCTTCTGTTGGAACAGTGCTGGCATTAATAAGATATAATCATTTTACAGTAATAGAGAAACTTTGTCCTCTATCATATATTAAAAATTCTCTACTCTAACCAATAAATAATGCATACACCAAATAATCCATTCCAGAAAATTAATCAGAACCTTACTTATTTTAAAAAATAATAATAAAATCATGCACTAATTTAGCAACTCCACAAGGACAAAGCACGCTGCAGGCAAAACTCTCAAGCAAACAAATTTGTATGTATATCTGCATGAGTTCTAAGACCCCGGAATCTCAACGACACTACATGTTCCCCTCTGGTTTCTGATATCCGACCTTTCCATCCTTACCTCTATCTCATCCTTCAAGTCTTACTTACTAATTTTGTTTTGTAATTTTTTAATCATGATTTTTAGGTAGTATTCCTCTTAGGAAATCTTTAAAAATATGTGTTACATTTATTGATAATTTCAATTTTTAAAAACCTTAATTTATATCTATATATGTGTGTGTGTGTGTGTGTGTGTGTGTGTGTGTGTGTGTGTGTGTGTGTGTGTGTGTGTGTGTGTGTGTGTGTGTGTGTGTGTGTGTGTGTGTATGGGTGTGGGTGTGGGTGTGGGTGTGCGTGTGCGTGTGCGTGTGTTTAGGCAAATGAAACTCAAATGGACTGGAAAGGATACAGCAGTGTAGGTGAGAAAAACCTCTGGGGGATACTAAATGGATGAAGCAAACACAGCATCTATGGATTTTACCAACAGCCAAAAGTAAATTTCTACATGAAAGAAAAAAAAAAGAGACACTTTATCACATGCAATATAGTTTATATATTTTTACCTACCCCTAACCTCTAAACTCCACACAAAACCTATTTTTAAACATGCACATAAACATACAGCTTCCTCATACACGAACTCATCAAACCAACACTTGACATGCAGAACTTGTCGTATAATACCATTCCTTACCCACTTGCTTGAGCCCAAGATTGCCAAATCAATACTGATCATCAAAGCAAGCACAAGCGGTCTGGGAGAGAAGCTGTGGAAGTTAGTCTTTCAGCTTCATGTAAAACGGGACCAAAAACAAGCACTCAAAAGTGGCCAAGCGGGTGACGTGTATGTGTGCGCATATGATGGCTAATAATAAACAAGAAACATTTACCTCAACGGAGTCACTTACAACATCTGACGACTCTGCTTCCGAATCCATTTCGTTCCTATGGAAAAGAAATAAAGATTAATTTCACTAATAATAATCATAATAATAATCGTAATACTACTACTACTACTACTAAAGATAATATTAACAATAACACTAATAATAACAATAATAATGATAATAATGATAATGATATTATTATCATTATCATTATCATTACTATTATTATTATTGCTATTATTTAATAACAATTGTAAAATATATATATAATAATTATAATAATCACCATAATAATAATAATAATAATATACTACTACTACTACTACTACTAATAGTAACAATGATAATGATAACAATAATAATAATAATAATAATAATATACTACTACTACTACTACTACTACTACTACTACTACTAGTAATAATAACATTATTATTAATAACAATGATAATAAAAAACAATATGGAGCAAATAATAATTTCAATTTACTGATTCTTTTTCTTTTTCTTTAAACTGCCATCACCTAAAACTTACAGTATTTCTTGGTGCATGAGACTAATTGTTAAAACATCATTACTGGGTTGGAAAGAAGATTGTGAGCAAATAACTACAAAATTGAATAGTGGAGAGAAACTAGTAAATGGTCATTACACATAAAATATTATTACATCTAAAAATTAATCAGTACATAGTAAAGGTAGGCCTACAGTCTCTTTTCATTGTCTGCCTGTTCTAGCCAGGTTAAGTTCAATTCAATTATATTATGCATTTTTTGTTGAAAACTGAATTTTACACCTATATTATGGACAAAATGCAATGACCAAGCTCTGTTGCCTGTTTCCCTTGCACTAACACGATTTTTGGATTAAACAGCATCATTTCTAAACATTTGTGCCAAATGTTCATAGAGACGAAATTTCCTGATTTTATGTGTTCTATCAGTATCCAGCATGATACTTGGGGTGGGTGTACCCAGTGAAATAATGGAAATGACCAGAGCATGAAGTGCAGAGGCTGGCATTGTTCCATGCAGTCTTATTCTAGGTAATTACCTAAGTGATTCTGATGGAACAGATTTAATAAACTCAAATATATAATCACTCTGCTATCTTGAGTACTAGTTACCGAGAGTGACACACCAAAAACAAAGTCCTAAAACCAGGATATCATGCAAACCCAAGGTTAAAGTATACAAAAGGACCACACCGACTAGGAGAAAATTTAAGATCATAGCATTGTAGGCAATGAAAAACTACATTAACTGATATCAAAATTAATTTGCAGAAGCCTACTGATTCCAGTTAAACAACGAAAATAGATCGGGGTGAATGCCACACTGCGGCTAAGTCCACTCAGCATTGACGCGGCTAAGTCCACACGCGACCTATGTTTACCAAGTTCTTGCGCATTGTTAACACCGACTGCTCGGCCACTGCACACCTACATCACATGACGTCACGACGAATTGTGTATTCCATTGTTTTTTTTAAGCTTTTCATTTACATCTCATGCGTTTCTAATCTTAATATTTCTCTTGCATAAACTTAAGATGTTATTTAAAATATTTTTTGTCTATTTCATATTGACCTTGTTTTGTCAATTAAGGCCTGTGTTTATTTTTTTAACAATGATTTCATTTCATACTTTGCGCGTGTAAACTAAGGATGGCCACTTTGACAGCCGGTCAGTTTCAAGTATGACTAACGGGTGTCAAGACTGTGACAGTGGATTTGGTGTGTTTTTTCTAAAAAAATCAGGTGAAACTGAGGAAGTGATTCACATTTGCAAAGAACATGGCCTTATACTAAATACTACCAAGCGTGCAAAGTGTGGGGCAGACTGCAAAACGGATATAACGGATATACCCTAAGGTATGTAAAACGTAAAACCATGACAGTAAAACTAGTAGGAAATCCGGTGATTGGGAAGGAGTCCGGGGGCTGAGGGCGGAGCCCCGATAGGGAAATACGGAGATCGGGTTAGGCTGGGCTAGGCTAGGCTAGGCTAGGTTAGGTTTGTTTTTTATTATTTTCCACTTCATGGGACTTTATTATTGCCGTTTATTAGCAATCTCCTCACTATTCCCCCCCCCCCCCAAAAAAAAAAAAAAAAAAAAAACGGTTCTCCATGGGATCCCCCAAAATTGTTGGCTGTAGTTTGGGACTTGGTCTCCTACGGGTGCGGTCCTCTTATAAACATTTACCTGAACCTAACCTTTCCCACCTTCTATCTATTCCCTAGACAGGAGGGGGAGCAAGACCCCCCTGTACCCCCCCTTTACTAGCACTTCATGCCAACTTACAGAAAACAAGACATTAAAAACTCGGGCTGTGTGAGGGTGTTGTGGACTTAGTCTCTGAGCAGTGATAAGTAGCAGATATGTTCGTCATTCTGTATTAACAGCCACTGTACCTGTGTTGTTTATGACTCTATTTCTTATGCTCTACAAGATTTCATGGTCCATTTCCCACTATCTCTTTACGTCGCTCTCGGTAATATTAACCCTCTCGTGATCAGGACCGACTCAGCTTTCAGAGAAACCAAATACATGATACAAATCTCACGAAGTTACATTCCTGAGACCGGTCCTTGTAACACTTAAAACCACAAAACTATTGGAGATTTCTGAAAAAAAAATTAAAGTAGTAAAGTAAAATTAGTAACTTAAGTCTATATCGTGCATTTTTTTTTTTTTTTTTCAGACTCTCACACAGTAGAAAGGTAGATAGGCCTATTTTGCAGTAATCCTTTAGTATTTTCTTCTTCTTCTTTCTTCTTTTATAGGGATTTAGACTATTGTCTAGTCTATATCCCCTGGACCTATTTTCTTTCTTCTTTCTTCTTTATTTTCTTTTTTTCTGTGATGCTTCTTTCAAACGATTTTGTTTACGTCTAACAGCGATGTGCGTTTGTTGTTGAGTTTATTTCTGTTTTTGGTTTTGTTTATTTAGCTATTTTTGGGTTGTAAGTATAGATTCGAGATTTATTCGATTTTTTAAAGAAAGCTTAGAAATATATATTTATTTTTTGTAAGATGTAGTGTTGCGTTCTCGTGACATGTGATAAAAATGCTATTAGATTTGTCCCTATCTTTGCTTTATCGCTATGGTTGTTTGGACTTATTGAAGGAGGAAATAATATGTTTTATCTGATTTTTTAATGAAATATTGGCAAATTACTGTGGATTATCATATTAATTAAATATCTGAATTTCAGGATTTTGGTTATTTAAAAAAAAATATTTAATAAAAAAATATATACATTGAATTCCAAAGAGGCGAGAATATATGTAAAAAAAGACTTATGACAAAAAAAAACTGATTATAATAATCACAAGTTTAATAACAATATACTTTTTTTTTACATAAATACCCTAAATCGTTCTTATAAGAACAATGCCACTAAATCCACATTCGCAATCCTTGAATCCGCGGATATATTTACAACTTAAAAGAACGTACCTGATTGGCTAATGGGCAGAGACCTACCTATAATTCGACCAATGAGAGAGTTCGACGGGGAAGGACTTGTGGGATCAGCTGTTTCCGACGAGGGTTGGAGACGGTCCGGCAGAAAGGGGAGAAGGAAAAGACGGAAAATAATATAAAGAAAAGAAAGAAAATAGATCCAGGGGATATAGACTAGACAATAGTCTAAAACCCTATAAAAGAAGAAAGAAGAAGAAGAAGAAAAGTGGGGAAAAAATAGACTCAGGGGATATAGACTAGACAATAGTCTAAAACCCTATAAAAGAAGAAAGAAGAAGAAAAGACTGAAAAAGATGCTGATTTTACGTGCGAATAACATCGTCCTTAGAGTATGTCATTGAGTCGTGATTTGTTTGAGGTGCTGAGTTACGTCAGGTTGTGTGGTTAAAGAAAGTTTAGGTAGTTTTTCTTACGTAAGATGACGTTGATTTAGTTTGTTTTTGTCTTTTTTTATTGATTTGTTGCTTAATATACATTTAAACTTATTCTAGTTATTTGGTTTGGAGAACGAAACATTAGGTTGTTGATATTGGGACGTTTCTTTCATGTTGGTAGCAATAAAACTGGACTGAAAAGAGGGATATACATTGTACTAACACCCTCGCATTGTACAACAGGGATATTTGCATTAACGTAAGTCATTACCCAGAATATTACAGCATTAAGCAATGTTTTGGTCTCTGTGCTTCATTCTACAGCAGAGGTGAACAGATTTCCACCACATATGTGTTGGCAAGATAGAGCTTGGACTGCAACCTTTGCTTTCAGATGCTTCTTACCCATATGAGTGGGGTATATGTAGGCCTTGGGAGTAATTTATCTTCTGTAAAACATAAAGAAATAGTTCTATAAATGCCTACAGATGGCAAAATTGGAGATGTCATGGGCCTCATTGAACACTTTATAGATCCCATCTAGGGACTGAAGGAATGATCTTTAAAAATTTTAAGCTAACCAGAGAGTACTCAAAGTTTATTAGTGCCAATATTTTTATAATTGTGATTTCATGAAATTGCCACTTTATATAGAGTGAGACTGCATAAGGCATAGATGAGCATGATTTATTTTTATCAAAATTGTATTTTTTTTATTATCATTATTATTATTATTATTATTACTTATTTACTTAATTCCTTAGGTACTTATGCATACAGCAATTCCTCAAGGATTTACCAACTGGGATACTTAATTAAAAAATAGGAGCAGTTTTCATTCCTAGAGCTGATTTGGGAGAAAGATATAGGCCTGCTTTCATTGTACAAATTCAAACCCTACATCCTGAATTACCCAATATTTCAAACTTGCAGAATGGGTGTCTGGCTAGCACAGCTCTGTCATCACGTCTGTGCCATCATGATGCAGGACTCAATACAGAGTGGGCTGCCCTGGCCAAGAAGCAGCTGAAAGGAGCCGACCCAGCTAAGAAACTCATGTGGCAGACACCAGAAGGCATTACTATCAAGCCTCTTTATACAGCTGAAGATGTTGGAGAGTGAGTTTAAAGTTGTAGCTCCTTCCTTCCTTCCTTCCTTCCTTCCTTCCTTCCTTCCTTCCTTCCTTCCTTCCTTCCTTCCTTCCTTCCTTCCTTCCTTCCTTCCTTCCTTCCTTCCTTCCTTCCTTCCTTCCTTCCTTCCTTCCTTCCTTCCTTCCTTCCTTCCTTCCTTCCTTCCTTCCTTCCTTCCTTCCTTCCTTCCTTCCTTCCTTCCTTCCTTCCTTCCTTCCTTCCTTCCTTCCTTCCTTCCTTCCTTCCTTCCTTCCTTCCTTCCTTCCTTCCTTCCTTCCTTCCTTCCTTCCTTCCTTCCTTCCTTCCTTCCTTCCTTCCTTCCTTCCTTCCTTCCTTCCTTCCTTCCTTCCTTCCTTCCTTCCTTCCTTCCTTCCTTCCTTCCTTCCTTCCTTCCTTCCTTCCTTCCTTCCTTCCTTCCTTCCTTCCTTCCTTCCTTCCTTCCTTCCTTCCTTCCTTCCTTCCTTCCTTCCTTCCTTCCTTCCTTCCTTCCTTCCTTCCTTCCTTCCTTCCTTCCTTCCTTCCTTCCTTCCTTCCTTCCTTCCTTCCTTCCTTCCTTCCTTCCTTCCTTCCTTCCTTCCTTCCTTCCTTCCTTCCTTCCTTCCTTCCTTCCTTCCTTCCTTCCTTCCTTCCTTCCTTCCTTCCTTCCTTCCTTCCTTCCTTCCTTCCTTCCTTCCTTCCTTCCTTCCTTCCTTCCTTCCTTCCTTCCTTCCTTCCTTCCTTCCTTCCTTCCTTCCTTCCTTCCTTCCTTCCTTCCTTCCTTCCTTCCTTCCTTCCTTCCTTCCTTCCTTCCTTCCTTCCTTCCTTCCTTCCTTCCTTCCTTCCTTCCTTCCTTCCTTCCTTCCTTCCTTCCTTCCTTCCTTCCTTCCTTCCTTCCTTCCTTCCTTCCTTCCTTCCTTCCTTCCTTCCTTCCTTCCTTCCTTCCTTCCTTCCTTCCTTCCTTCCTTCCTTCCTTCCTTCCTTCCTTCCTTCCTTCCTTCCTTCCTTCCTTCCTTCCTTCCTTCCTTCCTTCCTTCCTTCCTTCCTTCCTTCCTTCCTTCCTTCCTTCCTTCCTTCCTTCCTTCCTTCCTTCCTTCCTTCCTTCCTTCCTTCCTTCCTTCCTTCCTTCCTTCCTTCCTTCCTTCCTTCCTTCCTTCCTTCCTTCCTTCCTTCCTTCCTTCCTTCCTTCCTTCCTTCCTTCCTTCCTTCCTTCCTTCCTTCCTTCCTTCCTTCCTTCCTTCCTTCCTTCCTTCCTTCCTTCCTTCCTTCCTTCCTTCCTTCCTTCCTTCCTTCCTTCCTTCCTTCCTTCCTTCCTTCCTTCCTTCCTTCCTTCCTTCCTTCCTTCCTTCCTTCCTTCCTTCCTTCCTTCCTTCCTTCCTTCCTTCCTTCCTTCCTTCCTTCCTTCCTTCCTTCCTTCCTTCCTTCCTTCCTTCCTTCCTTCCTTCCTTCCTTCCTTCCTTCCTTCCTTCCTTCCTTCCTTCCTTCCTTCCTTCCTTCCTTCCTTCCTTCCTTCCTTCCTTCCTTCCTTCCTTCCTTCCTTCCTTCCTTCCTTCCTTCCTTCCTTCCTTCCTTCCTTCCTTCCTTCCTTCCTTCCTTCCTTCCTTCCTTCCTTCCTTCCTTCCTTCCTTCCTTCCTTCCTTCCTTCCTTCCTTCCTTCCTTCCTTCCTTCCTTCCTTCCTTCCTTCCTTCCTTCCTTCCTTCCTTCCTTCCTTCCTTCCTTCCTTCCTTCCTTCCTTCCTTCCTTCCTTCCTTCCTTCCTTCCTTCCTTCCTTCCTTCCTTCCTTCCTTCCTTCCTTCCTTCCTTCCTTCCTTCCTTCCTTCCTTCCTTCCTTCCTTCCTTCCTTCCTTCCTTCCTTCCTTCCTTCCTTCCTTCCTTCCTTCCTTCCTTCCTTCCTTCCTTCCTTCCTTCCTTCCTTCCTTCCTTCCTTCCTTCCTTCCTTCCTTCCTTCCTTCCTTCCTTCCTTCCTTCCTTCCTTCCTTCCTTCCTTCCTTCCTTCCTTCCTTCCTTCCTTCCTTCCTTCCTTCCTTCCTTCCTTCCTTCCTTCCTTCCTTCCTTCCTTCCTTCCTTCCTTCCTTCCTTCCTTCCTTCCTTCCTTCCTTCCTTCCTTCCTTCCTTCCTTCCTTCCTTCCTTCCTTCCTTCCTTCCTTCCTTCCTTCCTTCCTTCCTTCCTTCCTTCCTTCCTTCCTTCCTTCCTTCCTTCCTTCCTTCCTTCCTTCCTTCCTTCCTTCCTTCCTTCCTTCCTTCCTTCCTTCCTTCCTTCCTTCCTTCCTTCCTTCCTTCCTTCCTTCCTTCCTTCCTTCCTTCCTTCCTTCCTTCCTTCCTTCCTTCCTTCCTTCCTTCCTTCCTTCCTTCCTTCCTTCCTTCCTTCCTTCCTTCCTTCCTTCCTTCCTTCCTTCCTTCCTTCCTTCCTTCCTTCCTTCCTTCCTTCCTTCCTTCCTTCCTTCCTTCCTTCCTTCCTTCCTTCCTTCCTTCCTTCCTTCCTTCCTTCCTTCCTTCCTTCCTTCCTTCCTTGCTTTTTGAGATGGAAATAAGGTTACACCATAGATTATGATATAGTTAAACTTTTTATCAGTTACTTTTGTTACATGAGTTTTAGTTTCCTAGATGTCAATATATTTAAGGCAACCAGTTTGTTTTATTCTTGGTATTGCCATTTCTGAATACCTGAAA